GGGAATTGGGGGGCGCCAACCTTGGGGGGGGGGGGTTCTTGAGCAGCTCGGACGCCGCCGAAGTTTGCCTCCTAAAAAAGCCCGCCCGCCTTTTGTCTGTAGCGCCAGGAGGGGAGGAAGGAGGAGCCTTGGAAGTAACTTCGGGCTCCCAAAACTACCTTTTGTTGTCAGCTGAGCGCGTGACGTCAGAGGCCGCCGCCGCCGCCGCCGCGCCGGGCGAGGTGCTGGGTCCACATGTGACCAGCTTAAACTAGTTCTGAAGACACAAAGGGGGAAGGAAGGAGGAGAGGCAGAGGGGAGATAAGGCGCCAGATAGCTGGGGAAGGGGGGCAGGCCAGGCGGTGGAGCAGAGCCAGCGGAGAAGAGCAGGAGGAGGAGGAGGAAGCAGCAGCAGCAGCGGCTTCGCCAGGAGACCGACCGAGGCGACGGCACTGAGCAACCCTCAGCATCCCTCCATCCAGGCAAGGCACAGGAGAGGACCTCCTGGGCGCGAAACTTGGCCGCGGTGGCCCCGCGGGCGCGCTTCGGGCACTGCGCTCTGCCGAGCGGTCGGTCGGTGCGGGGGAGGGAGAGGGCGCCCCCCCTCCGATCCCTTTATAACAGGCATACCTTTGTGTGGGGGGGGAGGGAGAAACACCTCCTACCCACACACCCCGCTCTTCCTTCCCATCCGTAGGAAGCCTAGCGTGGAGAGCCCTTTCGCTGATCGCGTGAGGAGGTGTGCTCGTGCTTCATTTTCCCAGCTCTTTAAAAAAGCGCAGGTGGTTGTCATCCCTTCCCCCCCACACATACACACACACACGCACCAAATCCAAAGCCCCAGGTACCCTTTCGGGGACTCCCATTACCGCCGCTCAGCTGCTCCGAGGCAAGCACTGGCGCAAGAAAGTATACACCGGCGGCGGGTGGGGGGGAGAGAGAAGAGACGGTAGGTTCTCTTTTCCGACTTTCTTCGAGCCTCGCCAGCTTTCGAGGAAAAGGGGAGGGACGACGCTCACTTTGGGACACAAAATTCCCTTCTCGAAACGGGGCGGGGGGGGAGGAAGGTGAGACAATGTGATGACTTTTCAAAGCTGCTCTCTTTCGCCCGAGTCTCTCGGTTTCCCCCCCCCCC